TTTCCATGGCATGTCTTTTAACGAGCTACGTTCCTTAGTCCTACTGACTCTGACCTTTACAACTGGGACCCGCCATGCCACGTACACAAGTGTGAATCATCCTCATTCTCTTCATATTCCATTAGTAAGGAGGAACTTCCATTCGAACAGCTTCTTGCCAGAAACTGCAGCTTTGTAGAACAGACTCCAGGTCGGGTGTTTTCTTTACCACTACAGTCTTGACCTCTTTAAGTTTAAAGTTCCCTACCCGCAAGCCTCTTGGGAAAAGTATGAATCCTCTTCTTCACCCCCCCCCTGTCATCTATGGGTAAATAGCAGGACAGACTGGATTCTATAGCTTTGGATGGTCTACCGCAGAAAATGGCAACCTACTGAGGGAAAAAATCTGCCTCGTCGGTCATGTATCAAAATATACATGATCGCCTAAAGGTGTATCGCGCATGCCACATAAATGACTGACTGACTGACACACAAGCCGCTAGTGGCCCGCTGGCGGGCCGCCGATCGCAACGCTAGCCGGTGGGACTCTAGCGATCCGCTAGTGGTAACATTGCCGAGAGGAACACGCCGGCAGTCCGACAGAGGGCCACCAGCGGTAAACGCTAGTGGCATGACACCCAGTGGCAGATTGGTGGCTTGCGTGTAGGGTTAATTGTTATCTTTCCTGCATAACTTCATGAAATTCACTTCTTGCCTTTTCTTACTTTCATACAACACTGCACAGTATCCCTCTACCTCGACTGGCTCTTGGGCCTTGTATTCGGTGAACATTAGTATAAAAATTCTTATTAGAAGACAAAACCATTTTGTAACAGTTTAAAAACAATGGAAAACTAATAATATCCTATTTTTCCTCTCTTTTTTTCTTTCATTCATTCACTTTTTCTCACACAGTCGCTATCTACTGGATGCTTCTGGAATCAGCCGCTTTAATCCTCATAAAGACATAATGCTTGTTAGCCATGTATTTATCCAGATGGACTAATGCATGTAAATGTGACTCCTGGGTCAACATGGCGATAATTATAAGCCATCAGCTAAGTTTACATGAACAAAAGGATTTTTTTTATTTTTTACGTACACACACGCGTGGGCGCACACATGAGTGGAAGCGCCATATCAAAACCTTAACATTAAAAATACAACCACATGACTAGAGAAGAGAATTTTTAAAGGTCTTCTTGGCCATACCGGTGATTTTCAGCATGCTCTCGTTTCTAAGTTAAATAGAATCTGGTTCAAGCCGAGTATAACGCATACATGGAGCGGGATAAAATGTTTATTCGGTATTTTCTCCATGGTTAATGTCCCACGCCGCGGTGGGGGCCCGCGGCGTTAGGTATTAACCATAAACCCACATCCACACCCACACGGCGGCTGAGTTATAACCTGGAGTGACGTCTTCTTAAACCTAGGTACGTAAGGATTCTGGCAAAGCCAAGTATTGAGATAGATATAAACAAAGATAGATAGATAGATAGATAGATAGATAGATAGATATGAAGAAAAATAGAGAGATAGATATATTCGAATAAGATAGATAGATATGAAAAAACTAAGATATATACGATAAAGATAGATATGAAGAAACTAAGATAGATAGATAGATATGAAGAAACTAAGATAGATAGATATGAAGAAACTTGGATAAGATAGATAGATAGATAGATAGATAGATAGATAGATAGATATGAACAATGATAGAGAGATATATACGAATAAGAAAGATAGATAGATAGATAAATAGATAGATAGATAGATATGAGAAAACTAAGATATATACGAATAAGATAGATAGATATGAAGAAACTAAGCTAGCTAGCTAGCTAGATAGATAGATAGATAGATAGATAGATAGATATAAACAAAGATAGATAGATAGATAGATAGATAGATAGATAGATAGATAGATAGATATGAACAAAAATAGAGAGAGAGATATTTTCGAATAAGATAGATAGATAGATAGATAGATATGAAAAAACTAAGATATATACGAATAAGATAGATAGATATGAAGAAACTAAGATAGATAGATATGAAGAAACTTGGATAGATAGATAGATAGATAGATAGATAGATAGATAGATAGATAGATAGATAGATATGAACAAAGATAGAGAGATATATACGAATAAGATAGATAGATAGATAGATAGATAGATAGATAGATAGATATGAGAAAACTAAGATATATACGAATAAGATAGATATGAAGAAACTAAGCTAGCTAGCTAGATAGATAGATAGATATAAACATAGATAGATAGATAGATAGTTAGATAGATATGAACAAAAATAGAGAGATAGATATATTCGAATAAGATAGATAGATAGATAGATAGATAGATATGAAAAAAACTAAGATATATACGAATAAGATAGATAGATATGAAGAAACTAAGATAGATAGATAGATAGATAGATAGATAGATAGATAGATAGATAGATATGAAGAAACTAAGATAGATAGATATGAAGAAACTTGGATAGATAGATAGATAGATAGATAGATAGATAGATAGATATGAAGAAAAATAGAGAGATAGATATATTCGAATAAGATAGATAGATATGAAAAAACTAAGATATATACGAATAAGATAGATATATATGAAGAAACTAAGATAGATAGATATGAAGAAACTTGGATAAGATAGATAGATAGATAGATAGATAGATAGATAGATAGATAGATAGATAGATAGATAGATAGATATGAACAATGATAGAGAGATATATACGAATAAGAAAGATAGATAGATAGATAGATATGAACAAAGATAGAGAGATATATACGAATAAGATAGATAGATAGATAGATAGATAGATATGAACAGAGATAGAGAGATATATACGAATAAGAAAGATACATAGATAGATAGATAGATATGAGAAAACTAAGATATATACGAATAAGATAGATATGAAGAAGATAGATAGCTAGCTAGCTAGCTAGCTAGATAGATATAAACAAAGATAGATAGATAGATAGATAGATAGATAGATAGATAGATAGATAGATAGATATGAAGAAAAATAGAGATAGATATATTCGAATAAGATAGATAGATAGATAGATAGATAGATAGATATGAAAAAACTAAGATATATACGAATAAAATAGATAGATATGAAGAAACTAAGATAGATAGATAGATAGATAGATATGAAGAAACTAAGATAGATAGATATGAAGAAACTTGGATAGATAGATAGATAGATAGATATGAACAAAGATAGAGAGATATATACGAATAAGATAGATAGATAGATAGATAGATAGATAGATAGATAGATAGATATGAACAAAGATAGAGAGATATATACGAATAAGAAAGATAGATAGATAGATAGATAGATAGATAGATAGATAGATAGATAGATAGATAGATATGAGAAAACTAAGATATATACGAATAAGATAGATAGATATGAAGAAACTAAGCTAGCTAGCTAGATAGATAGATAGATATAAACATAGATAGATAGATAGATAGATAGATAGATAGATAGATAGATAGATAGATATGAACAAAAATAGAGAGATAGATATATTCGAATAAGATAGATAGATAGATAAATAGATATGAAAAAAACTAAGATATATACGAATAAGATAGATATGAAGAAACTAAGATAGATAGATAGATAGATAGATAGATAGATAGATATGAAGAAACTAAGATAGATAGATATGAAGAAAAACTTAGATAGATAGATAGATAGATAGATAGATATGAACAAAGATAGAGAGATATATATGAATAAGATAGATAGATAGATAGATAGATAGATAGATAGATAGATATGAACAAAGATAGAGAGATATATATACGAATAAGAAAGATAGATAGATAGATAGATAGATAGATAGATATGAACAAAGATAGAGAGATATATACGAATAAGATAGATAGATAGATAGATAGATAGATAGATATGAACAAAGATAGAGAGATATATACGAATAAGATAGATAGATAGATATGAACAAAGATAGAGAGATATATATGAATAAGATAGATAGATAGATATGAGAAAACTAAGATATATACGAATAAGATAGATAGATATGAAGAAACTAAGCTAGCTAGCTAGATAGATAGATAGATATAAACAAAGATAGATAGATAGATAGATAGATAGATAGATAGATAGATAGATAGATAGATAGATATGAACAAAAATAGAGAGATAGATATATTCGAATAAGATAGATAGATAGATAGATAGATAGATATGAAAAAACTAAGATATATACGAATAAGATAGATAGATATGAAGAAACTAAGATAGATAGATACGAACAAGGTAAATAAGATAGATAGATAGATAGATATGAAGAAACTAAGATAGATAGATAGATAGATAGATAGATAGATAGATAGATAGATAGATATGAAGAAACTAAGATAGATAGATATGAAGAAACTTGGATAGATAGATAGATAGATAGATAGATAGATAGATAGATAGATAGATAGATAGATACGAACAAGGTAAATAGATATGAAAAACCTAAGATAGATATGGACAGAATGCGACATATACGAACACACTGAGCTAGTTAGGAACATAGATAATTAAATGTATAGATATGAACAGCCTGAGATAGATACATATGAACAGAAAAACCAAGACATACAGACAATGGCAAATGTAGGCTGTGTGGAAATAAAGATTGACATAATTCTTGAATATAGAAAATTAGCACAAAAATGATACAAGAATAAATATGATTGGGCGGTCAAGTCGTTTCAGTAGGAACTGTGCAAGTGGTTGGATTCTGACCATAAAGACCAACAGAAAGTCAGAATCTATTAATCGTAAAGAAGAAAATAAGATGCATTTTTTTCTTCTTTTAATCAATGAATACCAAGAATGGCGATAATGTCTCTAAGCCTCAAGGGTCTACTTGGAGTGAAAGAGAATGAGAAAACTTAAGAAGGAACCGGAAACACAATCCTAAACAAGAGATAAGGGATAAACCTTTACTCCTGTTCAAAGGACAGGGGAAGAGTGTGAACTGGACGATAGAAAAATCTATCTACTCCTTTGGATTGCGTTGTTCCAGAGGATCCAAGAGCTAATCTGAAGGAAAGCGAAAAATTGGGACAAGTATCTTGATGTTGTCATGGAACGGTTAGGATCGATTCCGTAGAGCATCTGAAAGAAGCTGGAAGAACTTGAAATCATGGGGGAATTTCAGAACCAACCAGATGGCAGCATTTACGGCAAACAGGAAGAATACTGAGGAAGGTGCTAGAATACTTGCTGTCACTTGATCACCTGTGTAAGTCAAGGATATTGCATCAAATATTAATAATGACTTTAGAGCATACCAAACCAGATGTTGGACAAATAGAAAAATATTTGATCCTGCTGGAAGTCTCCTGTCCATTTGACGTGAAAAGAGAATGCAAAGAAAAGAAGATCGACAACTACAATAATTTAAATCAGGAGTCGGTAACCCATGGCACGCGTGCTACACGTGGCACGACAAGCAATTTCCAATGGCACGCAGCCGCAAATGACATCACGAAGTCCGAACCAATAACCACTACCACGCAAAAAAGATATTTAGCTGTTTCAATTTTAAGATATACTAAAGTATATATACTATATAAAATATATTATAGAACAGGTATATTGACCTTGACTTTATAAAAATACGTATGCTGTTGACACACTGAATGATATTAAAAACTTAAGTTTGCACTTAATTAGCAAAAGGTTGGCGACCCTTGATTTAAAGTATGACATTCTGATCATTAAAGCAATGAGATGTTATACAAAAACATGAAAAACTCGCGAATATTGGATTGGCATTTGGAAACAGAATCGTTACAAAAAATGCATGGCCGCACGGAAGAGCAAGTTCTGGATACAGCCTGTCGATGAAAATGAAATGATCGGTTTATTTTCTTAAATTATGAGAGGTGGCCTGAAAATAAACTTTTTATCAGCAATCAACATCAATTACTGTGAATAATAATAATAATAATAATAATAATAATAATAATGATAATGAACCACTAATAACAATAATGATAAAACAATAATAATAATAAAACTACTACTAATAATAATGATAAAATAAATAATAATAATAATAATAATAATGTCAGCCCAAAATGCAGATTCTGTGATAAATATCCAGAAACGATTGATCATCTTGTATCAGGTTGCACGATATTGGCACCCACTGAATATAAAACCCGGCATGACAGAGTGGGCCAATATCTGCACTGGAAAATCTGCAACTTCTATGGGAAGGAAACTGAAAGAAACTGGTATGAACACCACCCAGGCCCGTTTACGGAGATAGGACCTGTAACAATTCTATAGGACTACACAATACACACTGACTGAACAATCAAAGCCAACCGCCCAGATATTGTTATTAAAGACCACAAGCAAAAACGGTGCCTCCTTATTGATATGGCAGTCCCTGCTGACTGCAATGTATCTTTGAAGATATTCAAAAAGCTGTCAAAATACAAGGACCTTGAAATAGAAATCTCGAAAATGTGGCATATGGGAACATCAACACTCCCTGTTGTAGTTGGAGCCCTAGGACTGGTTGGAAAAGATTGCACTAGACTAATTGAAGGGATTCCTGGAAGTCCATGACTCAAGGAGCCACAAAAGATTGTTCTGACAAGTACAGGCCACACTTTACGAAGGAATTTATCTATATATTGTTTTTTTTTTTTTTTTTTGTCGGTGGAAAGTGTCATGATGCCATTTCTAACCTTGGGTCCCTGGGCGGGACCCGGAAAGAAATGTGTAAACACCAGAAATCAAAGAAAATAAAAATAATAATAATAATGAACTATTAATAACAATAATGATAAAACAATAATAATAATAACGACATGTGCACTGGAAGATATGCAAGAAGCACAAACCAGACACAGTTACCCAAAATAACGATGTAACTATCCCCTGGGACATGCCAATTCAAACTGACAAGGAAATAAAAGCCAACAGACCTGATATCATCATAAAAGACAAGAAATTTGGAAAGTGTATGCTTATTGACATAGTAGTAACATCTGAGAAAAATACCTTCATGAAAATTATCGAGAAATTGTCCTAATGCAAGAGCTGGAGATAGAGATTAATATGATGTGGGGAATGAATACTGAGACTGTACCAATAGTAATCAGAGCTCTGGGCCTCCTGAGAAAAGGAATGGACAATTTTACTAACAGTACCCCAGGTAACATCAACATACAAGTTGGCCAGAAGATCGCCCTACTAGAAACAACCCAAATACTAAGAAAAGTGCTATCAATTAAATAACAGTTCTCCTATAGAGCCTAAGGATCATATTTTGGACCCGGTTCTACAGGATACAAAGCAGGAAACATAACATGTACAAATAATAATTACAATAAATTGCAGGAAAAAAAGTTAGAAATTTCTACACAGCTTGGATAGATTACCGTAAAGCCTTTGATAGCATGTCACACTCTGAGATCCTTAAGTCTTTGGAAATGTACAAAGTCTTCTCGGTGATAGTAAATTTCCTTAAATATAGCATGAAACTGTAGAAAACCACATTATATCTAAAGCAAACCAAAGGTACTGCCACTTCCAATTGTTTGAATATCAGACGAAACACACTCAATAGATTTAGATTTTGTTACAAAAATTAGGGAACTGGTACAAGAAGAAGCCTATAAATACCTAGGTGTCAGCAAAGGAGATGGAATACAGTATACCAAAATGAAGTAGAAAATAAGAAAAGAATACTACAGTGCGTCTGTTGTTAAATGGCCAGTTGAATCCACAAAAGAGAATATTACCTATAGGCACTTTGGCTGTCCCTGTGGTGCAATACAGTTTCAACATTGGACTATAGCTGACATTAAGCGAATGGACGCCAAAAGGAGAAAGCGTACCTGCCACTGCATGCATCATCCTAAGGCTGATGTTGATCGACTGTATAAGTCCAGATCCGAAGGAGGCAGAGGAGTACTTCAACTAGAAATGTCTTACAAAATCACGACTATTGGTCCTCAATGATACTTGCATGAAACTACAGAAAACTAGATGATGATCTATGTCAAAGAACATGAAAGAATTAAGAAACTTTATTCAGTAATAAAGGAAGCCAACCAATTCAAAAGGGAATTTCAAGTGTGTGAAGAAGTGCAAATAAAACTTAATACACCTACTGCAGCGGCAAAGAACCTAAAAAAGAAATCAAAAGCAAATGCAATGTACTAAATGCAGAAACAATAAGCCTCTTCATGATCAATCCTCTGGCTGTACAAAACAAGCTGAGGTAGACAAACCCTGTTTCTATCAGTGGTTACGTAGTAAACGGTTAAAAGCTGAAACCGATGGTTTTATTCTTGCTGCAGAGGACAGATGCTTGCTAACTAGAAATTACCAAACACACATACAGGAAAATTGTGTTGATCCCAAATGCAGATTCTGTGATAAATATCCAAAAACAATTGACCATCTTTTATCAGGTTGCACAGTGTTTAGCATTCACTGAATATAAAACTTGACATGATAGAGTGGGTTAATATCTGCACTAGAAAATATGCAACTTTTACGGGAAGGAAACTGCAAAAAACTGATATGAACATCATTTAGATGCAGAGACAGTAACTGTAACAATGTTATGGGATTTTACAATACACACACATAGAACAACCAAATCTAATCGCTCAGACATCGTGATCAAAGACCATAAGAAGAGGATATGCATTCATATTGACACGACACTCCCTGCAGATTGTAATGTATCTTTGAAGATACAAAACTGTCAAAATACAAGGATTATGAAGGGGAAATCTAAAAAATGTGGCATATGAGGACATCCATAATTCCAGTTGTATTTGGAGCCCTCGGACTGACTGGAAAAGGTTCTGGTAGACTTATTGAAGTGATTCCGGATAGCCAATTTCTTAAAGAAATACAAAAAAAAAATTGTACTCGCAAGTACAGCTCACACATTACGGAGAGTTTTATGTATGTAAAATGTGTTTTTTTTTTGTTTGTTTGTTTGTTTGTTTGTTTTTTTTTTTTTTGTTTTTTTTTGCAAAATTGATCGTTGGAAAATGTCATAAAGTCATTTCTGACCTTAAGTTGGGACCTGGAAGGAAATGTGTGTACAACAGAAATCAAAGGGAATAATAGGAGCAACAAAAATAATAAACACCAACATCTCAGAAGTACAAGAGATTACTTTGTGCGGAACTTCACATATCATCCGCAAAACCTTCTCCTGGTAACCGAAACGTCCCAAATATGCATAGATAACCCCCCTACGGTCCATTTTTTACTCATCAACTCAAGAGGAAGAGGACTTGGTGATGAAGTACTTAAAATTACTCTCTGGCAAGATGATATCACACACAATAATAATAATAAAACTACTACAATTCCTACTGCTACTAATAACAAATTATCAAAATACAAGGATCTTCAAGTAGGAATCTAAAAAGTGTTGCACGTGAAGACATGAATAATTCCAGTTGTGGTTGGGAAAATGTTCTGATAGACGCATTAAAAGGATTCCTAGCAGCCCATGCCTTAAAGAAATATATAAAAAAAAGGTTCTCACAAGCACAGCTCACACCCTACAATGGCCTTTATCTATGTAAAAGGTTTATATGTTTGTAGTTCTTTTTATACTTTTTTTTTTTTTTTACAAAAATGATCAGTGGAAAATGTCATAATAGCAATTTTGACCTTAGGTCTCTGTTTAGGACCTGAAAAAAAGGAGTACAGAACAGAAATCGAAGGAAATAATAATAATAATAATAATAATAATAATAATAATATCTGCTAAATATTCAGCAAACACACAACCGAAGCGATATCTCAACAGTTTTTTTTTTTTTTTTTTAATTGGAGCTTCTTTTTTTTTTTTTTAGGAAAACCACAGTTCCATTTCGTCGACCCATGCTGCAAAAAGATGTGCTTATCAAAAGAAAATCAGACACCAACCTTTTAAAAGAAGAAAATCCATAATTCTACAGCTCGAAAAAAAATAAGGAATAAAGAGATTTAAAAAAAAAAAAAAAAAAAAAAAACTGAAGAACGCAGCTACAGCAGTCCGGCTGAAGTCTCTGCTTTTGCAACTTTATGTCATGCAAAATATCACGTCACACGCGAAATGCTAACGGGAAGAGTCCGGCGTTGACAGCTTGTCTATGAAAAAAAAAAAAAAAAAAAAAGAAAGGAAAAAAAAGCTATTATAAATTATGAATGAAGGCACTAAACAATCGTGGAACCATTACAAATTTCTAAGCGCAAATGAGATTAAAAATGGCGGTCACACATAAATAAGAGGTCTGTTACTCATTTGCTCATACAATATAAACAAAATTCTGAATATGGACGAGGGGGGTGCTGAAAAGCTCTCGGCACGACTAAAAATTCTTTTCTAAAAAAATATTGATTTTAGGTCATTTGATCAGATTTTTAGGCATTTGGCCGTCCATGCATTGACTGTTGCTGTCACATCAGGTCTGATGCTTCGGCTATGTATTTAAAGATTCTCGACAAAATACAAAGAATCTGCAATGTTATCGGTCCTGACCTGACATCTCGGCTTCAGTTACTATCCCCTAATGTAGCTTCCCTTTTCTATAGATAATTTCATTGTCATTGTTCTGATAAGCTGTCCACTTTGATACCTAGACTGTTTGAATTTAAGCGCAGTACTTAGATTAACGACATGGTCTCATCGTGTTACAGTTGAAATAGCTTGATGTAACCGTAAGTTCTATTCTAACAGTTTCTTCTGTCGCACTTCCCGCGTCTAGAACTCTCTTTTGACTTCTTACTTTCCATTCTAATCAACAAGAATTTGAACGCAATATCAATCATTATCTATTGTCCTCTTAATTCCTGTTCATGCAATTTACAGGTCGGAGACACTAAAATCAAGCACGTACGGAAATTTAAATATCTGGGAAATGTTATAACAGAGGACGGAAAGAGCGACACTGAGATCCGAAGACCGATTGGGATGGCCAAAGACGCATTCCAAAAGCTAAGCAGAGTATTACGAGACAGGAAAGTTTCATTGGAGACAAAGAAAAGAGTACTGAACTGCTACGTGATATCTGTCCTCCTGTATGGCAGCGAATACTAGGCAATCTCCTCAAAGATGAGAAAGAGACTCGAAGCAACAGATGCGCGGTTCTACAGGAGGATGTTGAGCATACCATAGGGCGAACATGTGAGCAACGACGAGGTTTTGGAGAGAATGGAACCCAAGGGGAAACTTATACTTAACATCAGGAAGAGACAGCCGAAATTTCTGGGGCACGTAATGAGGAAGGAGGGCTTGGAAAATTTAATACTCACAGGACGGATAGAGGAAAAAGAGGGTAAGGGAAAGCAAAGCATGACGTAATGAGCTTGAGCAAGTGGATAACGGAACAGCGTCTGGGAGAAATAACAAAAAGACAAACTTATTAAGAGCTACAAGGAACAGGAGGAGGTGGAGGACCATGATCGCCTACGCCCTGAAGGGACACGGTACATAAAATAATTAGAATTCCTGTTCTTTTATTGCTCTCTCCTTAATAACGCGTTCTTTATTATATCCTCTGACACTCAGTAACCGCTTGTGTCTCAGTGCCATTATTGCTTTGCATGTGGTGAAATGATTTTATGAAAAATGTAAGCATTACTTTTACAAAATCCAGTTAATTAATCCTTAAATTTTCTAATTTTTCTTTGAAAAACATCTGTAAGGCAACTGTTGGATCTTAAAAAGATTTTTAAATATGTTGTTTCCAGTATTTGTCTATATTTCTGAGATGAGGTATTATGTACACTATTTACATTATTCGGACTATTGTCCTCATCTTTGTCGCCATATATATCACAAAGTTTCGGCCTTTCAGTTTCTGTCTATATTTCTGACATGAGTTATTATGTACACTATTTACATTATTCGGATTATTGTCCTCATCTTTGTCACCCTATTTATCACAACGTATCGGCATTTCAGTTTCTGTCTATATTTCTGACATGAGTTATTATGTACATTATTTGCATTATTCAGACTATTGTTCTCATCATTGTCGCCATATTTATCACAACGTTTCGGCCGTTGTACGCTCCGGCCTTCTTCAGGTGGTTGGAATGTCGAACTGAACCCTTTATTTCGCTCATTGGGGTAGACTGTTCTAGTTCCACGTGCCATGTTTAATGGATGTCCGTTATCAGTTATCTCCTGTTAATCTCCCTCTCCAAGTTCTTCACCGCCTTAACCAGGTATTGAACTCACACTCAATGCACATGGCCAGACAATTGCGTTTAGTATGAAACAGACTGTCTTGATTTCAATGTCTATTATATATATATATATATATATATATATAATATTAATGGTCAATAAATATATATATATATATGTATTTCCAAGAGGATAGAATCTAGGTAGAACTTAATGTCTAGGACAGAGCGAGAATATGATATAAAAGGCTCAAACACTAATATTTTATGGTTATAATTTATTACTTCGTAATCGTAATCATGATCCAACTCATCAGACCTACAAATATAAAAAGAAATCGGAATATATATATATGTGTATATATATATATATATATATATATATATATATATATATATATATATATATATATATATATATATTAATGTATATTTGAGCAGCAAACTTTCTTTCAAGCATGTGTCATTGAAAACGGCCGACACGATTTAATTAATCTTTAATTGAGTTTTTCCAGTATTTTACTATTAGAGAAGCATTACTACTTAAATACTGTTTCCTTCATATCAATCTTATACTGTTTACCAGTGGAGAGGCCGTGTTAAAGGTTTTCTAAAAATAGAAGTCATGCCCATTCAACCAGTGGTGCATGGCACGTACCGCCAAAAGCATCCACTCCTCCACAAGAACTCCACACAGCTAAACTACTATATAAGTGATAACACACGGAAATTCACCATACCAAAACAACATCCTTGATAATGGCTATAGAACTAGCCGAAAGCGTTCGGAACAATAATAACTTCGGACATTTTTTTATATTCTTTAATTCCAAAAGACCGAAAAATGTTAGAATGCTGGAAAAATTCAATAAAAGATCTTCCTTGTCGGCCTTTTTCAATGAAACATGCTTGAAAGAAAGGTTGCTGCCCAAATATACATTAATTAAATTACATGTACCGGCAGCCAACAAGGAACATAACACCAACACATCCCGGAAAAATCTCGTCGAACGACAGCTAAAAGAAGCCAAAGAAAGGATGGTGCATCTTAAAAACGAAATCCGTAAATAAACGGATATTCTCAAAAACCCAATGAGCACAACAGAACAAACAACTACCGGATCCTACCTTGACCACCTCAAATACGTTAGAATTCAACCAAAAACACATTATTACTAAAAAAAAATAAATTCTGCAACTTATACATTGGAAAGATTGTACTACCCAAGGGTAAATGTAACTTCCTAAACTTAGCCAATCACGAACTCACCGACGACCAAGTCGGATTCTTGAATATCGGCCTGAATTGTCACCTCCAACACAGGTATGACCCTCTTTAAAAGAAAAAGGAAATCGAAATATTATACCAATCTACCCAACAGCTCACAACAGAAAAATCAATTAAGGTTCACCCAAATATGAAAGACATCCCAAAAGCAATGTCCTTACAGACAAACTCAAGTCGGCCGCGAGAGAGTTACGCGACAAACACAGTATCTTTATTAGATGCGCCAATAAAACTAGTAATTATGTAGTTCTCAACCCACAGGACGACAACCAGAAATTACAATCCATCCTTGATAATACAATGAAATTCACCCCCCCAACCCCCCAAAAAAAAACACAGAAACATTAAAAAGCATGTAAATAAACTAATCACCGCGAACAACGCTGATGTTGACAGTTTAAAAATCAAGAAAATAAGTGATTATCAACCGGTATATATATATATATATATATATATATATATATATATATATATATATATATATATATAAAAAAAAACCAGGTTCCGACCCGCTTGTACCAAGAAAGTTCCATTCTACGACCATAATGGCAACACATATATCCAAACTAATGGTGTTAGCATAGGAAACCCTTTCGGACCCGCTTTCGCTAACTTTTATATGTTCTACACCGAAAACTAGGTACGTGGATGACATTTTCGTTTTGAAAAAAAAAAAAAAAAGATAAAATCGCAAACCTCAAACAACTTTGAAAAAAACTCAACACTAAAATTCACATATAAATCCATGTTACATAATAAGATCCCATTCCTCAACGTTGAGATAGAGCTAAAATCCAGCCAATTTACCATTCACTTGTATAAAAAAAAAACAAAAAAAACACTAGTACGATCTATTGTCTTCTAAACTATCATAGTCAATGCCCGGAAAGATGTAAAATAGCAGTGATAACAAACTTTGTAAACCAAAATTCCTCTTCACAAAACTATTTCTAAGCGAACTGAAACACATAAAACAAACACTAGTCAACAATAAATTTCTCAGCTACATCATTGATAAGCAAATAAAATTATTCTTACAATGAATACACGACACCAGTCATAAAAATACATCACCACAAAACATCAACATATTTTATTGAAACCAGATGCAAAATAATTATAAGCAGGTCGAATTTGTTATAAAGGAAAATTATTAAACACCATATTTCTGCTGTAACCCCTGAACACCATGTAAAGTTTATAATATATTACAGAAAATGGAAAACCGCAAACCTTGTCGTCACTAACCGAAATAAACCCATCACATTTAAACTAGCGGCGACCAATATAGTGTACCAATTTCAATGCCCAGTACAAAACTGTGTTACTTGTCAAAAATCAATTACCTTTAATCGACACACTACTACCGCCTTAAGTAGACGCCTTACATGTCACCTCTCGAAGCAGAGCGCGATTAATAGACATTTATTGACTAACAATTTACAAGAACCCTTAATGTCGATAACAAAAAAAAATTTTAAATCACA